TGTCAAAGGATATGAACAGACAGTTTTCAGACAAAGTAATCAAAGCTACCTATAGTCATATAAAAATTCTCTAAATCACTATTAATGAGAGAAATGTAAATTAAAACAATGCTGAGCCACTCTACCTCACACCTTTTCAGATTTGCTAACATGACAGAAAAGGAAAATGACAAGTATTAGAAAGGATGTGGGAAAATTAAAGCACTAATGTACTACTGGTAAAATTGCACACTGATTCAACCATTCTGGAGAGCATTTTGGAACTATGTTTAAAAGGCTATAAAACCATGCATATCCTTTAACTAAGCAATACCAGTACTAGGTCTATCTTAAATATACAATGAACAAAAAAGGGAAAGACTTCTGTGTACAAAAATATTTATAACAGCTCTTTTAGTGGTGGCAAAGAATTGGAAATTATGGGGTTGTCCTCCAGCTAGGCAATGGCTGAACAAGTTGTGGTATGTGATTGTGATGAAATACTATTCTGCTATAAGAAAAGACAAGCAGGCATATTTCAGAAAAACTTGGAAAAAACTTAGATGAACTGATGCAAAGTAACAGCATTTTATCCACAGTAACAGCATCATACTGCAATGATCAACCATGATAGACTTAGCTATTCTCAGCCTTACAATGATCCAAAACAATTCCAAAAGACATGATGAAAAATGTTGTCCACCAAAAGAGAAATGATGGAATCTTAATGGAGATTGAATCATGCTTTTTAAAAAAAACTACTTTTCTTGTTCTTTTTTTTTCTTTTTTGTCCTGTGTTTTCTTTCACAATATGACTAATATGGAAATATGCTTTGTATGACTACACATATTTAAACCTATATCAAGTTGTTTGCCTTCTCAATGAGGGAATCAAATCATGACAGAATTTGGAATTCAAGATTTTAAAAAAAAATGTTAAAATGACTTTTGCATGAAATTGGAAAAATATTTTTAAATGTAATTGGTAAATGTTTAACAAAATAAATAAAAATATACCATACTTTATAATGTTGATTTGTGGTTTTCTTAGTCAATATGCAGCTCACAGAGATTTAAGGTTGACATCTCTGCTTCAGGTAGTTCTAGGGATATGCAGCTTTACTCCTTTAATTCCATTTTAGGTTTTGCTCCTTTTCTTTCTCGACTTTGTTTTCTCCCATGTCCCCACAGCATTAAAAATCTAGAAGCTGTCTTAACCACCTCTAGCTAGAAGCCTTGCCATCTTAGAAATTCTCTCTACCTCTGCATCCTCTTCCTTTAATTGATCATTTTCTCCCAGATTCTCCATTTGAGGGAAAGGCACCTGGCAGGCTGTGATCACTTCTTCATTCTCTCTTGGCCTCACATCTGATGCTGCACTTCCTTCTTCACAATGTCCGCATTTATCCACCCTTCCTTTATAACACTCTTCAGCTTCCTTTCATATGTTCTCTTCCCCCATAAGAATATGTCTCTGCCTTCCAAGAGGGTATATTTCCCTTTGCTTTTATTTGTATCTTCAGAATTAGCATAGTATCTGGCACATAGCAAGAACTTTATGAATGTTTATTAATTTGACTTATAGTTTTTCCATGGCTAGCAATTTTAAGATCAGTTCCTATCCCTACCCTAATTAGAATGTGTAGAATGGATGTTTGTGGTCATATCATTTTTATTTATACACATAAAGGTTGATGGCATAGGTATCACAAATCCAATATGAATGATGGGGACATATTAAATAGTTCTTTTTACAAAATCCCTTAATAAAGATAATGAGTTTTTGGTTTCTACCCCCAGTTTTTTCCTAAAGAAGCACAGAATGCTGGAGGAAATTTTTGAATATAGAATATTTTGAAAATATTTTGAATATAATATATTTTGAATATAAAATATATCTCTATACATAATATAATATATTTTGAGTACACACACACACACATATATATGTGTGTATATATGTGTGTATGTGTGTGTGTATATATGTGTATATGTATGTAATGATCTTAGAGGAGCTTTCAAGAAACTGAATATGGTTATTAACCAGAAATCCTTCTTTACTTAAAAATAAAAGAGGAGGAATTATTCTTAAGTATTAGAGAAACACAGAAGAGTTAAGATTAAAAAAAAGAAGAAAAATTGCAAGTTTATAAAAGTCTTAATTCACAGTTCTCTAAGCAGCTAGTTGGCTCAGTGGATAGAGTAGGAGGGCCTGGAATCAGGAAGATTGAAATTAAAATCTGGCCTCAGATACTAACTAGCTGTGTGACCCAGGGCAAGTCACATAAATTCTGTTTGCCTCAGTTTCCTTATCTGTTTAATGTGAATAATAATAGCACCTAACTCACAAAGTTGTTGTGAACATCAAATGAGATAATATTTATAAGATACTTATCACAGAGCCTGTCCAATAAGAGGTATTTAATAAATGTTTTTCCCTTCCCTGGCTTTCCTATTTCAAGATCTTGAATTCAGAGTCAGTTACATAAATACTAGTGAAAGCAATATAAGATCTAGAGCTCAAGCTGAGGTAGATTTTGTTTGCATCAACTGCTAGATCTTTCAGGCTCTGTAGGATCTGATATTGGTACATAGCTCTGACTTGTTAGTCATTGCAACAAGTATATGCTTCTCTGGATTTTCTATTCTATCTTCCTAGGAAAGTTAAGCTTTGAAAGATTGAATCTTCAGTGTCAACAACTATAAATTGTTGGAATTCTCTCCTTGTTCTTTAGTTTCACGGACAAAAATATCTCTCTCTTTGTCTCTCTGTCTCTCTCCTAAAAAAGTCCTCCTAATATGCCTAAGCACTTCCTGCATTGGCCCAGAGAAGCCTTCTGTTACTTAGCAGGTTTGCTTAAAGCAAACCTATTAAATAGATGGAACATCTGGTCTGTCTTTTGGGGAAATTTTGTTTTTTTTACCCTTGCTCATGTTTTCAACATGGTCTTCTTTAAAGGCCAAGGTTAGACCTCCATGATCCTTTTCTTTGCTTCTCCACTGTATTTCCAACAAGATTTCTACCAGGTTAATTTTCCTTTATCTGTCCAAACCATTACTTCCATATGGAATGCTTCTTTACTCCCTTTTGTTTGAGCTTTATATAGAAATACCCTAGAGCTACTAAATAGTTGCTACTTTATTATAGTTGCTTTCCCACTCACTTTCCTAAGATCTGACCACCTCTCCTGAAAAGAGGGATTTCATAGAATCCCAAGTCACATTTTTTTAAAGGGTCTATAGGTTGGCAGAGTAGAGGAAGCACTCAGCTAAGCTCTCCCAACCATCCCTTCCAAACAATTTTAAAATAATGCCTTACATAGAATTTTGGAGTGGTAATACCAACAAAAGGTGAGTGTGAGAGACTCTTCTAGCCACAGACAGCTTAGAAGGGTGGATATCTGTGATACTAGAGTGGAGGCTGGCCCAGGGCCAATGTGAACGTAACACCAGTGGTGGGACTGGGTAGTGGTAACAGAAGCAGCAGCAGTTTCAAGATCTCTCAAGCCATAGATGGTAAATGGATTAGGTAACTAGTCAAAAGAGATTACAGGGGTCCTTTGATTTAGAACTAAATGCAGAACTTGAAATTGTTTGGCAACTTCATTACCTATGCTTATTTCTGGGTCACATTTCCAGAGCAGAGAGGAACACTTTCAATCAAGAAGGAGCAGGGGATCTGAGCAGCAGTATCCCTTCTGGTCCCAAGGGAACTGAGGTCTTGATGAGAAGTATTAATTCTGGTCCTATGACAACAGGGGCCTGGAGGAGCAATATTGATTGCAATTGCAAGGGATCAAGTCCCCTTCCTGGGTAAAGGCCAGAGTGCAGACTAAGAGAGCATTGACACACCTCTTTTCAGATCACACTACATTGGAAGCACTGACAACTTCCAAACTCTCAGAACTAGCTCTGAAAAAAAGCATTGTAAAAAACCCTGAAGCTTGAGAGAGACCCCCATTTATACCATCGCCCCCCCAATTCTAAGACCATAGCCCAACTTTAACATGAAGTTCAAAATCAAGTGGGAAAATGAGAAAACAATTACAACAATAACCTTAACCATAAAAATCTATGGTGACAGACAATCAAGAAACAAACTCAGAAGATAAGCAAGTCAAAATAGCTAAAAGCAAATCTCAAAGGAAAATGTGAATTGGACACAAACCTAGCAAAAAGTTCTAGAAGAGCTAAAAAAAATGATTTCCAAAATCAAATAAAGTAGCAGGGGAAAAATTAGTAAAACATGTGGGAGTGAAGGAAGAAATTTATGAAAAGACAACAATTTGGTAAAAGAGGGGAAAAATACTGAAGAAAATAATAATTTAAAAACCAAAATTGGTCAAATAGAAAAAAAAGCACAAAATGTCACTAAGGAAAAATAATTTCTTAAAAATTAGAATTGGGCAAGTGGAAGACCACTTGTAACTTAAGGTATAAAGACATACATAGTCGTGCTATCATAACACAATATGATATATTAAGGAGATCAGTTATTTGGCATGTAATACATTGTGGTCACTCATATTATACACACATATACATATACGTACATATATACATGTGTGTATATACATAAACATACATATATGCACACATATACATGTGTATATGCATAGATACACATATATAGATATGCATGCATATACACAAATATACATATGTATACGTGTGTGTATACACAAGTTGACTGACAGGTATTGGTAATTTAAAATCATGAACTGAACATCAGGGTATCTCATAGTTTCCATATATTATCAATATGCAGGTAGCTAAATAGCCAAAATTCAATAAGGAGACATTAGCTAATTTTTTTTTGCTAAAGGTAAACATGTCAATTTGTCACATAAAATCCTGTTCCTCACAATATGTCTTAAATTACATTTCAGAATGTCTTCTTAATTTCAAATCAACATTTAAAATCTAATAGTGTATTACCTTTTAAAGCCATGCTTCTTCTTATTCTACCTTCATTGGTTTATTTGTAAGACTTATAAAATGGCTTTTCCCCCTCTTTTCAGATTTGGCAGTGTGGTGGATCATTAGAAATTGTAACCTGTTCTCATGTGGGTCATGTGTTTCGCAAGGCAACCCCATATACATTTCCAGGGGGCACTGGTCATGTCATCAACAAGAATAATAGGAGACTAGCAGAAGTCTGGATGGATGAATTTAAAGATTTCTTCTATATCATATCCCCAGGTAAGCAATTCTGGCTGTTTTGGTTTGTTTGTTTTGGAGAGGAATAAATTAGAATTTCATGCAAATACAGGCATTTTCCTTGTTGGATCTCCTTATTTTGATGGTGGTTATTCATACAGGTATATTTGTAATGAAAATATTCAGAAACCTACGTTTTTGCAAAGATCTTCTTGATAAAATAATTTTAAATCAAAAATGTAAATTACACGGTATAATAAATACAATATTATGTAGCTTAAATGCTTTATTGAATCACAAACATAGATGTTTCTCTTCTTACCAGTATCATGGAGGAGAGAAGGGCATAATATAAAGAACTTTGGAAGGTGAGTCATTAACATGATTCGAGTCTTATCCTGACATGTGGACACTGAATTAATCTATTATTTGATGAGATTTTTTAGAGTTAAGGGACAGCAATGTGAGAATTTTTAGTACTTTGTCCCAGGGCTTGTCCCAATTTTGTTTTTGCTGTATACATCATCTAACTCTCGTAAGACAGTTTTTGCTTTTTATTTGACCTTTTTTTTGTGTGTGTGAAGAGCCAATAGGATTCATCTTTAGCAGAGATATTGAGGAAAAATGGACTCTTATATGCAGAGTCAACATTATTTTATAGAGAGAAAAAATGAGGACAACATGTACATAAAAGTGTAATTAGGAGGCAGTCTTATTTTTTTCCACAAATTTTCATACCTCTTCTGTGTCAGGAAGCTATTGCCAGAAATGCTATTTCACACACAGATCTATTTCTCCCTGCAATAGAGACCCATCCCAGATGTTCACACAATATATTTTATCAACAGTATATAAAATTCACAGTGAGATAGTGACATTTATGTAACCTTTTCATTTTCATTTGATGTAACTGCTAGAATTCAAACCAAATTGTAGCAGAAATGTACAATAGCAAATAAGAACAATAGTTGAAATAAAAAAAGGAAATGTAAATGCTATACATAATAACATGCAAATTGGGATTTCAGAAGATAAGTAATCAATGCTGATCTTACACCTTTGAATCATATTCATTCCTGATGACAAATATTATTTTTAAAGTGAGTAAGCACTAAAATCTGCACTATTTTCCATTTGGGGGAAAAAAAGCCAGAGAACTATTCTCCATAGGAGCATTTCCCAAACAGTGGTATGTGTTGTAAAATGACAAGCTTAATAGTTAAAGGATGAAAAAGAAAACATAGTGTCTAGAACTAATGTCATTAAGCTGCTCAGCAGGGAGTGTTGTATGTGGTAAAAAGTAGAGCTTTCACATCATAATAAGTATTATTTTTGAGAGTTACTGTTCATATAACACATGCTTATTTGTGTCCAAGCTAGGGACTTAAAAAGCCGAATACACACACACACACACACACACACACACACACACATACACACACATACATATATATACATATATGTATACACACATATATATACATATATGTATACACACACACATATATACATATATATACACATATATGTATACACACACACACACACACACACACACACACATATATAGCATTTGGGGAATATGCAGAAATTTTCTCCTGCCTTCCTGAAGACTGTTTTGCATGCTCCAGAGGTACTCTGCACCCTCTGGTGTGGACTCTGCCTTTACTATGCTCGAAAGTGTGGAGGTCAGGTGGGAAGAACATACCTTGAGGGAAGGAGAATGGATTAAATTCTCCACCTAGGTAACCAAAGCTGTCTACCTATCACTGACCCATTTGAGTATTAGTGAGGTCATAAAACAATGTGAGATTTACCATGAGGTCCCTGAAGTCTCTGAAAACTTTCAATAGCCCCTTGCTACTTTCCCAGTTTCAAAGTTGCTGTTTTCAGAAAGCAATTGTGCCAATCACGGCTGAGTGCTCAATCAGTATAACAATATTACCAGATGTTGCAAAATTCATGAAACCAATTGCAAAGCACTTAAGATACCAAGCAATGTAAGTAACAAAAAGAATTATCATCTCTATGAAGATGATTCTCAGATCTCTTTATCTACCCTTCACCTCTCTTGCCTTTCTGATTCACATCTTCAGCTTCCTATGGACATCCGTGATGGGATGTCCAAAAGACGTCTTAAATTTAGCATGTCTAGAAATGTACACATTATTTCTCTCTCAAGTCACTCCCCCTTCTGTTCTGAACTAACTGTTAAAAATACCACCAAATTCCCTTTCACCCGGTGTTGGACCCTAGATGTCACCCTCTACTCCTCTCCTCTCACTTTTCTCACTCACCCCAATATTGAATTTTTTTGTTAAGTCCTGTTGATTATATCTTCTTAACATCTGACACATGCACCAACCTAGTACAGACTCTCATCACCTTATGCTTGGACTATTGTAATATCCTCCTATTTTGGTGTTTTTACCTCAAGTATTTCCCCATTTCAGTCCATCCTAGAATCAGCTGCCAAAGTGATCTTTCCAAAACACATATGACTAAGCTGTTTCCTTATTTAATAAACTCTAGTGTTTCCCTGTTTCATCCAGGGTCAAATACAAAATCTTTTGTTTGGGATCCTTCACAATCCAGCTCCTTCCTACCTTCCTAGTCTTCTAACACTTTCCTCCCTTCCATAAACTCTACAATCTAGTTACTCTGACATCCTTTCTTTACCTCACATAAGAGACTCTATCTCTGGTCGCAGCCTTTTCAATGGCTGTACCTTATGCCTCTCATTCTTTGTCTCTTTTTTCTTTGTCTCTTTTGTCTTCTTTGTCTCTGGCTTCTCTAGATTCCTGAAAATTTCAGCTTCAACATCACTTTTGTCAAGTAACCTTTCCCATTTTTTTTTTGAATTCTAGTGCCTCCCCTCTGAAATTGTCTCTCATTTACACTGTACATATCTTATACATTGGTAGTTATTTGCATGTTGTCTCCCTCATTAGAACGTAAGCCTCCTTGCTGTGTTCTTGAAGCTGCATCAAATAGTTTCCATTAAGGGCAGCAATGTAAGCTCTTAAAAGGACAACTACTTTGCACCTAATGTGGATGAATGATATTGATATAGTGAAAATGATAGCTAATATTTCCATAGTATTTCAAGGTTTGGGAATCATCTTGCATATCTTCTCTCATTTGATCCTGACAATGACCATGTGAGATAGGTGCTATTATTCTCTTCATTTTACAAATGAGGAAATTGAGGCAGAGAGGTTTTGAATTACATTCCCAGGGTTATTAGGTTTTAGTAAGTTAATAAGGATTAAAATTACAATCTTTGTTACTCTCTGCTGAGTCAACTAGCTGACATTTGCTAAGGCAAGGTTTTTATCAGTTCTTATAATACAGTTGTAAAATACAACCACAGGACACAGTAGTTTAAAGAAAAAATAATAATCAATTCTATCATCATAATCATTATCATCATGACTACCATTTATATAGCACCTACTGTGTGCTAGCAACTGTACTGTGTTCTTTACCTCATTTGATCCTCACAACAACCATAGGAGGTCAGTACTATTATGACCCCCCATTTTACATTTTAGGAAATTGAGACAAGGATTAAGTGACTTGCTCAGGTTCATATAGTTAGAAAATGTCTGAGGCTAGATGTGACCTAGCCTCAGACACTTCCTGACTCTAAGCCCAGTGTTCTACCATAAAGTAAATATAATAAAAGTATTATATTGGGACAATTATCATAAAATATTTATAACTTATCAATGTAATAAAACGTTTGTGATATAAAATCATTCATAAAATAGATAACAAGTAATGTTACCCATACACACAGAAGTACCCTTTCTCATGGTTTGCCATACCCACCTGGGAAGGGGACTCCGAATGGGAACATATATATCCATGGAACAAGCATGGTGTGGCGAATGCATAGGGAACAAATATGATGGTGGCACATACATAGTTAGCCAAGGTAAATCATGCATCTTAGACTGTCAATTTGCCATTGTCTTCTGGGAATTCCATCATTCTGGGAATGCCATCAGCTGTCATCAACCTATATCATGTCAATAAAAGCCATCATCTAGTAATGTCAAATTTCTCTGCTGACCTAGGGTCTTTTCCTAGACTTATTTGTAAGTCTGTTTTCCTGTTGATTTTCCCTATCTGTTGATCTACTCTATAACTTCTTTGATCCTAATCCTTTCTTTTTCCTGTCTACTTCTCTGCCATTTCCCCTACTCTCTGGCCCAAAGATTAAATTCTTACAGACAAGGCAGTTTTCTCCTTGTTCTCCCCTACTGTCACATAAACATTATGTTGGCCTATTCTCTTCCATGTATAGGGAAGAGACAGACTCAATGGGGAATGCTAAGACTGTTCCCTAAGTATATGGAAAATAATGTGTTTGAATTTGATTGCTTCTAGAAGAGACATTTAGTTTAATTTCCACTGTTCTTTGGGACTTCCAGTCTTTACCAAAGATGGGTAGTACTCCCAAGACTACTTCCAACTAGGAGATAAATTAGATTGAACTGAAATACGATGAATAAGAGGTTATGCATATAATAATGCCGTCATCCAACATGACATTTATAATTCAGGAACCTAAGGCTAAATTTTTAATAAGGTCATTTTTTTACATGTGTAGTGATTCTTATTTTTTTTCTGACATTTGCCATTCGTTTAGGGAATTGACCAGGGTTATAAATAACTATGATTAAGGATGCCTATCATAATAATATAATGTTTCATCATTACTGTCATTTGCATTTACGATGCAGCTAAATGTCCTGAGCTGTTTCTGTTCTGTCCTATTTACCTTAGAAACATCAGTCAGGAACTCAGTATGGTTTCTGGATGAGTATGTTGGCAGTTTAATTTTGGCCAGGAAACAATTTAGGCTTTGACACTTTGACCCCTGTGTACTTTATTTCTATAATGGCTTCTAATGATAACTTAAAAAATAATTCAATTGCTTTCCGGGTAATTTTCTAAACATGCACATAATATAGCAGCATCATTTTTTTTTTAAACCCTGTAGGCTCTTAAAGCCAAAAGCAGTTTTTTTTTTT